AAATAAATCTGATGGTCAATTAAATTATAAAACATAAGGTAAAGTTTTCTTTTTGAATTTATTTGGTGCATTTAAAATGTATTTATTTATTTAAAGGTTCATTTATCTATTTCTGCTTTTATTCCTAATTATGTCAGTTTTGGTCCTCCATACTGCAGAATATGAAGAGGTAGTTCAGTGACTGAATCAGGTGTGTTGGAGCAGGGAAAAATATAAAACGGAGGGCTGCAGCCCTCCAGGACCATGATTGCCCACCCCTGAACTAAGATTTAAATATACATTTTCAGACAAATTCTAATAAAATCAAAGCATTACATTTTGTTTTTAAAATTATAATTTTTTTCTTCTTTCAGGTGATATGCATTAAAAAAGATAATCATTACTGGACCCAGATGTCGTACGTTTTCATTAAATCGGTCTCTGTGGAACACGCTGGCACGTACATCTGCAGGATCTCACCACACCAAACTACAACTGTTCATGTTCAGGTCACAGGTTAGTAAAGCATCAACTCTCCGGTAACTGCAACCAAAACTATACCGTAATCCAGGGCTGAGGGGGCCAGTTACTCCAATTAAACAGTTCGAGGGCGGACATGGGGGGGTGGAATTTGCTCGATAATAGACGAGGAAACACTGCATTTTTTATTAATTTAAAAGTTACCATTGATTTAAATGCATTTTTATAGTCAAATAAGTAAAATAGTTGCACCCCCCCCCCCCAGCTACCACCTGAATAGCCCCGCATGTGAATGTTTTGGATTTTTGTGTCTCCTCAGATGAAAGCTTCGTCTCTGCAACACTGCACGAACAGATTGTGACGACCCAGAACAAATGTTTGAAAGCAGAGGTGCTCTTCTACCCTGTTCTCAGCATCTGCTACTGGGAAACTCCTGATAGGCAAATAATCCCATGCACCAGGGAACTACATGTCTCAAAGCAAAGGTAGATTCATTGAGCAATGATTTCTGGGGCTCAGCATGTTCAGTTTATCTAAATAAACACAGTACACCAAAAAAAGTTAGGCCGCTGATATCTTCTGGAACTTGTTCTAGACGTTCCTTCTCTTGTATTTTGAATTATATGGTGCCCCAAGTGAGGCCCACCATTTTAATCTTAATAAAATAAAATGACTTTACCTTTAAAAAGTATTTGCATTTCATGTATTATATTATTTCATTTGGCCCGCAGCCCTCGGATAGATTTCATTTTGGCCCTCTTGGAGAAAAATGTTTGGGCAACCCTGTTCTAGAAGCTTGACATATTTCGCAAAGTCGATGATTTTCTACAAATTTGTTTATTATCTTTGATGTTGTTGTTTTTTTCAGGTTTGTGAGTTTGTGTAATTCACTCATATCAGGTCCTTATAAGTTACACCTGGAAGCCGGAAAAAGTCATGAAATAAAAACCATAAACGTTTGTGTTGTCGGTAAGTAACTAAACACATTATTGAAGTTCATCAGTCGTAATCAAACACTTCTAATCTAATGATTATCTTACAGAGACACCTACTTTCAAGTTTGGAAAAGAAGATGATTTCATTTATTCTGAGACTGTAATTCCTCTGCCAGCGAATTTTACATGGAGGTACTGCAATGAACGATATGATTAACTTCACAGAAGCTCATTGGCCTCTATGGCTGTTAAAGGTCTCTTCTCTTTGTGTCGCAGCATCTTTGAAAACAACTCCACGTCAGAACTGATGCAGGTGAAAGAGGAAACAGACTCTGAAGACGTCTGCAACAAGAAAATCACAAAGTATGTGGAAATGGACAAAGTGTTTGGAAACCGCTTAAAGTTTTGTGTGACACTCACAGGAGAAAACGTTGCACAAGAATTAAGAGTGTTCTGCAGCACTCCGCAACTTATTTATGAGCCACACACGGGCCAATTCGCCTCAGGTAATATAAGCTTTTTATTACCTAATACAATTATTAAACCAAGTAGATATAACAGACTGCTGCTATGATCACATTTTTTTTAGTTGATCCAGCATCAAATGACAAGTTGATGATGCTGTGGAAAGTTGGCAGTTTTGTTCTGCTTCTGGCTCTTGCAGTACTCCTTGTCGTGTTGATGTACTATGTCAAAAAGAAGGTACGTACAGCTTACATATCAATTCACAAATACAAACACAAGACAAGACAAAAAATCTTCTGTTTCCAACAGAAACCACAGTATCAGCCTCAGCTTCAGATGATCCAGATGGTTGGACCAAATGACAACGACTACATCTATATCAACTTCAAAGACTTTGAGTACGACATGAGATGGGAGTTTCCCAGGGAGAACCTGGAACTGGGTAGGCGTCAAATCAGCTCAATTAAATACAAAATCCAGGTACTAACTGGAAAATTAGCTTTTTTCAGTGCTGAAATCAGCTGAAGAAGCTGAAAATTAGTTGTTACAGCCATAAGACGCAAAAATCTGGATAAATTTCCATTACCATCAATCAAATCTCAGCTCAAAACTCCTCTGTTAGGGAAACATTAGAACCACAAATCTCTTTAACTACATTTAATATCAGAATAATCTCAAAGGACTGGTTATTATTTAATGTTGTCACTTATTTATTGCACTATTTTATTCTGGTAATTGATTTTATTATTTTATTGGGTTTACTGTTCTGTTG